AATCGATGCTTACGTAGTCTGGCCCAAGTGGGATGGAGTGAGCGGGTGAGTAAACTAGAAGTAAGTCGTCGGGTATTTGGGAATGAATCGAACAAGAACTCGCTAGCGCATCGAATCCAGCTCAATAGGCTCCGTTGGTTAGGACACGTTTTGCTTATGTTCGACGGTCGCCAATCGCAGCGCGCCTTGTTTTCAGTGGCTGTTGCAGACTGGAGAGAGCCACATGGAGGTGACGTGAAAACGGGGTGTGAAGAAATGCACGGAGCGATCAGTAGAGTAGGTGCCTCGCGTCTTCCGGGTTGGGGTCCAAAAGACTCCGTAACTGGATGGTTCGAGACAGTGAAGATCATGGAAGCAAACCGACGACAGTAGCGACCTTGTCACTTCTTTTCGGACCAGTATGCTTGAAAACGTTTGTATGCACAGTTGGGTGGTGTATTTTGTGTGTTGACCGTAGAGGTTCGCTTTCTTTTCCAGTCCCTAAAAATAGGTCCAATCCATGTCCTCCTTACACATTCTCACCTACCTTGTATGCAATGTGAATTTGGCAACGATCAGTGAAGTTCGTTTCACTGTATTACGCTATACAAGAAGATGAGTGAAAATGAGGTTACTGGAAGACAATCTGTGACATCACTTTTGTTATTCATTGTTTTACATTAAATTTCACTGTTTGTAATAAACTATGCTTTTTCGATGCTATTATTTATTTTCATTCAGATTTAGTAATTTCAGAAGGATTGACTCCTGTTGACAATGTCCCTATGTCGTATCGGTCATACTTTGGGGCGGTACGTTTGTCACTATCCGGCTATTTGTTCAATAAGGACTTCCTACACTAAAAGTTCTGCCTCTCAGGACGATAAAGGTAATACACTCTCTTCTGAATGCCATTGCCCTTTAACAGCTCCATCCTTTTCGATTTTAGCTGAGGCAATCAAGGGCCAAAATTATCGTTTGGTTTCTTGGCTGATCACCGAACAAGTGGGTTTATCCAAAAAAGATCATTCATGTGACCTTTGCTACGACAGGACCCATACGAAGTTAGGCGTGTGCAAATGCCAGACCTTACCTCAGCTTCTCAACCCAATCTGGTCGCGTCGGACGCTCCATCTAGGATGATTGGATGTGTATGTAAGCAGAAATTGTTGATGAATAGCCTTCTGCAGTTAGGAAGAACAAAGCAGCTCATACACATGATCTCTCACGCTAGCCTTACCCTTACAGCTCGTTCTCATTCGCTTTCCAGAGTTAACAATGCACCAAACCATTAGCTAAACTCATTAAAGCACCGTGTGTTAACTATCTTTTGTCTCTCCAGATTCGTAAACTGAGACTGTTTGGTGCAAGTCAAACGGCAATATGATCTTCTGCAACCCGAACTGTTTTTTTAAATTGTTTTACACTGTTCTCTTGTGGTGTTTCCGGGTCTGTTTAAAAAAGACTTCAGACTAGTTGGCCATGGATTATCTATCACATTTCGCCTTGCTGCAATTCCATTAGATTTTCTTCGCTTGTTCTTTATGAGACCGATATCAAATCCTGTTTCTTTTTGACATGAGAGCACACATTCAGAGGCGAGCAATTGTTTTCATTGATTCATCTTCTAGCCTGTACAGATCAAATAAGGAAATGGCATGTTGAACGGGGATAGTCATTCAGTCATTTCTTTTGTTGATTAACTTATTATTGATCTAACTCACTTTATATGGTTATCTTTTGGGATGTCGGTCTCAATCAGGTTATCGTATTTTACTTTCCCACGACTCTTCGTACAAAAATCTATTTTATCTTATGCAGCGGATGTTGTTGCCGAAAAAGGGATAAATTTCCGAGGAGACTTTCAATATATCTTAGTATTTGAAGCTCTAGTTATGACAATGACACGGACTTTTCATTGCGGTTCACCTGCTTTTTGTTTTCATGATTGGAACGCTATACGCACATGGCTAAGCCGGTCGATACAATACTATATGTACATATATAATGTATATAAGAGTGCATACCTATCGCTGAAACCGAAAGATAATCATATTGTTCAAGGCCCAAGTCCATCTACCAGTTTCAGTGCTTCTGGGTTCAAGCTACCCGACAATGTGTAGTAATGCTCTCCACATTTTAATTACTAATTGCATCTGCGGTTTCAGCTGAGTGTTGTAAGTCAGCCGTCTTACCGATGTACAAGAAAAGTGAAAAACAGTGGAATTGGTTTGAACAAAATTGTATCCAAACTTCTAGTTGGCATTATACTCCGCAAACTGTCTCCCGCACGTAAACGGTGCACAAGTGAGAACCAGTGGTTTGAGCATGTCTTCAGAACGCAGCAGTGAATTGATATGCTCATGTTATGATTTTCAGAAATATGCGGGGCTGAGTGGGTAGTAGATGAAGGAATTCGAAGTAGAATGGCAGAGTTGGATATAAATAACTCAACTTTGAAACAGGAATCAGAAACCGGCTCACCAAGCATGTTTTCCACGAGATTAAGGTATGACAAATAGAATTTACCCAAGACTGCTTTGGCAAATGACCATAATGAGTGGCTATGAGTGGTATGGTTGTTAGCCTTTCGATAAACAAATTTACCTTTTGTGATGTGGCTTTTGTTCCATGTTCCCATTATCGACTCAGTTTTGCAGTAGCACTCGATGCTGTCAAATATATCGCATAATTCAAATTTTTTTGTACTCATTTGGTCTCAAATACCAATATTAGATAATTTGCACGGTGCGTGCTCGATGGTGTGACATAATTTCACTTGAATTGTCGCATTATTTCTGAGCCACCTTTATTACTTTTTTATATGATCTACCAGAAAATCTGGAGTACTTTTACACCCATCGCTTAGTTAGGATTCCATTGGGATACTACCTCAAGTCTAGTTTAGCCTGTGTCTTAGGCCAGTTCTACAGATATTTATACACCAATCAGTATTCCATGGGAAAATCAGGCAATCGATTGAGTAAATTATTTTCCCATATGAAAATGTATCTAGTTTCCTCTGTTTAGTCTGAAACGGCTTGATTAAGATACCTCATTGGTGATTGCTTTCATCATATTATCTCCCTCGAAGCCTATCCGGAATTTTAAGTTTTAATGGTTTCTAATCTGCATAACTGTTTGATGATATATACATGAAAGGATCCTCCTCATCTTGTCTTATGTGGTCAGATCTACTTAATTTTGCTTCGTTTCAGGTGAACCCGAAGCAGATGCAATCAATTGGATGGAGCTGAAGAAGGGCGATCCGGTACAGTGCTACTGTGGTCACTGGTTTCAACTAGTCACCTATGAGGAGTATTTTGAACGTAAAGGGTTTTAAATTTCCGATTTTATTCCTATTTAAACGGATCTTGGAAGATCCAGACAAGTGTTGATTGCTCCTCCAATGGCCAATAACAGACAATGATGAATTCTTATTGTTTTTTATTGGAGTTGAAAATCTTATCATTGTTTTATGGCTTGACTCGTTTCTCACTTTCAAGCCCGATCAGTATGGTGTTCATCATGTACAAAACCGAATAGAAAATATACAGTAGTTCAGCAAGTGTTGTTGTCAAAAATGCTAAAAAGCTGAAGGTATCGGCCACGACGAGGAATAATTGACAACAGACACGCACAATGTTGACCAAAGTGTCGATTGTTGTCTGTATTAAAAATCCTATCTCCAAAACCTGTCTCAAGTAATGCATACCTCGATCGTGAAATTCAGCAAGGATTGCTGTTTTGATGGTAGGCTTAAACGGTGGGGATTGAAATGTGTCCGCAATCATGAAGAACATACGCGCGTACTGTATACACATGCATCCCATTCTTTTTGATGATCTCATCGATTTGGATGCAATTGAGGTCTCAGAGTGAGATTCTACATTCTGTTTGCATTGAAGACTCTTGTCAATGATCCGTACGGCCAGAGGAACGAGCATGTAGCGTCGGATGTAAAATTCCGCCGCGTTAGTTGCCCAATTCCAAACCTTTTTCATTTTGTTTGCCTCTTTTTTCAGTCGCCGTAGAATAGGCCTGATAAGCGGTCTTGTCAGCACGTAGAAAACATGTAATGATGCTCGGATAAATGTCAAAAGTGCGGTTGCAAAGAGAAACACGGTGTGACACAAACTATTTCTCTCCTGTTCACTTTGGACTGTTTCATTTCTCAGATTCGTATCTATGTGTTCTGTTATCTGGACTCTGTTGCACTGGTTCACATGACTTTCGAAAGACGTGCCTTCAATTGGATTTTCGTTTGACGGTGTAGTAAAATGCAGCCGATGACGTACGGCCGTGGACATGATGTCTGATGAGTATTGTTGTCTTTTGGTAATGCAAGGTGTATTGATCGGTTTTCAATTATTTGGCATGTGCCTCACGTGATCTGTAAGCGCTCGGCGAAGAAACCTACCAATATTTAAAGGATGCGGCTCTTGAAGCAAATACCTTTTTAGTAAAACTAGGTTTAACACCGAATACGCAGGTTTTAATGAGGTGTGGATTTTCTTTCCCTTGGCATTATCGCTATATTTGTAAAAGGCTATCAAACGTTTCGATCTCTAGTAAAGCAACGAATAGGAAGGCCATTTGAAAATAGAAGCGACCTGTAGCTTCGTCCTCTCCCACCCCCACAGCGTAACTGCTTCGAACATCGTGATTAAAATTCCGATCCCGAGTTGCTGCGAACAAATAAACGCTCACATACGGTTGCCATGTTCGCAAAAAACCTTGAAAAGTCTTGAGAACATTTTTGCTTTGAGATGTCTTAGGGATCCAGAGGTTTCCGACTGGTACATTCGCAAATAAAGGCTAATCTCCACTATTTCGTACTCACACCAGTTCCCTACGAAAGACGTAGAAAGTGACTGGAGATTAAAAGGTTAGTCATAATTGAGTATTGGGTTAGTTTCATTTTGAGACCAGTATTCTCAATGGTCATTCAATTGTTTGTGCACTTCATCGGAATCTAGGGTAGGCTTGCAAACAAGCATGGTGCCAACACAAGTGAGGTGGGTCAGGATAACTTACTCCAGGCGTTTCCGTTGTCACCAGCATGACGGCGAACCTGCCTTGATAGTAGACCGTCTCGTTTGTTGTCTGACTTGCTTTGGCAACCGTATCATCGATTGTTGGGTAAGGATTTCAAACACGCTCACCATGAGAATTTACAGCGGTGCAACGATCGCTTTTAATACAAATGTTAATTATATTTTAAGCTTAATTAGACGTGGTTCACACATCCAACTGTTTAAACACTAAAATAATTTTCATCTAACATGCACTTTGCTGGTGTCGTGTATTGAAAGCAGTTTTACTTGGAAAGCAGCTCTCTCTTTCCCGAGAACGATAAACCAATCGTTTTCGAGATTATTTGAGTGAACCAATAGGGTTAAAGTTTTAACAATACTGGTTGCCATAACATCCATATTCAGCCGAATTGTCTGTACTGTGTGAAATTTCTGAAATCACACTGACCATACGTTATTCCCCTACGAATTAAAGGATCTGAATATAAACCACGTGACTTTCATTGCATCACATTGATTGATGCTGTTTGAACCACTGATATTCCCTGTAAAACATTCCATTAGGAGGATTATACGGTGGTGGTTCATACAATGAACACAAAACAGACCAGTCCCGATTGCGGTGTTCAGTCCAGCACGGACACCACTGACCCGCTTGCACCTCACGATAGGGCCCCTCGCTTTCAGCATGTTCAACCAGGAGTGGAAGCGTACCGAGATGCGACTCGGGAGGCCTTGAACTTTCTGAATGGGGCCATATTACAGATGACATCTATTCCGAGNGCAGCTGAACTTCAAAAAGCCGCCGATTATTTGGCACAAATTAAACTAGAAGAAGAATTGTTTGAAAAATCACCACCACAATGGCGCGACCGGTTCTCCGAACGGGAATTGGTAACTCAGCGTCAAGCACTGCTTAGATTAAAGGATAAATTAACCGATCCGGGTGGTCAATTTCTGGCACGTTATCGGGCGAATATGGATTTTGGGAATGTACGCTGCACTAGCGACGAGTGTGCCACGAATGAACTCACCAAACGAACAGAACAAGATGACGGAATCGGTTGGACAGCGACTGCTGTTCGAGCATCGCATGCCTGGGCCATCCAAGAATTGCGCGGGTTGAATAGTGAACTGGGACCGTTAGCTGAGGCATCCAAAAAGCGAATGGAACAATACATGGATGAGATGGATATTACGGATCGTTATAGCGGTTTTCGTCGAAATCTGGGATACGCGCATCGAACGGATCCGAATGATCTCAAAGCTCTTGAGACCGCTTTAGAATCGACTTTACGTCCACCAGTTGCCCCCCGATGGAATCTNAGGTTCTGATTGGAGTAGAGCAGAGGCTGTAGGTACACAAAACTATATGGCGCCGAGTGAAAGATCCGCGTGTTACGTTCATCCTTCGAATTATCTGAGATGGTCCGATGAGAAGCCAGATCCGAGGAAGAATGCTGGTATTGTACTGAACTATCCGGGGAGAAGTGAATATCAGGATCAGTATCTGATACCCACATTTGTAGAAACCGGTATGGATAAGACTATGCCACCAGCCACACATCGAGCCACGTTTGAACAACCACCGGGAATATGGGGACGCGGTTCCATGGTTGGAATTGATCCGGCCCAGGTGCAAAATAAGGGTTACGGAGTAAATCCACGACCGGACTATTTGCGGGAGTTCGCTAAACCACAGGAACCGCATCCTGCCGATTTGGAGTTTCCCAAATCTGAAACTGCTACAAGCTATGTGTGGCCCGAATTACCTAAACCAAAAGAACTACCACTGGCGATGGAGTAAGCCAAACATGGACAATTCTGTTCAGCTTTTTCTCTTATTTTGAGATTTTTCAATATAATCCCACTCGGTCATTCCGGTGTTAGGTTTTCATTGACTGTGGGATCTTTCATGCATTTTAATTACCCTCGGAGAATAACAACCACAGGGTGGAAGTTCATATGTCGCCTGCCAGGATATTTCAGAGAAAGTCAATGGTAAAATTATCATTATTATTTAAGGAAAACCTGTTTTTCATCAATTCTGTCGCATTTGTTTGCACCTTTATCTATAAGTCTTGGCTAAAAGTTTAGAATTTACCCTGCAAAACGAATCGCTAGAGATTTTCAATGATTGCGTTTAGGTTTTACCATTTCTGGTCACCAAACTTTGGCCCGTCTGAGCACCGATCCGTGACCAAATCTGATGAGGAATCATTTTTGTGATCGCATAATATCGAAGCAGAATTTTTGTTCGACAGAATTTACCAGTATTTTCCGCTAACTCCATGGAGTGGTTTATCGTAATAGATTCCTGGATGCTTTCAAATCCCCGGGACCAATAAAAAAGTTGCTTTTTTTACAAAAAGATGCCGGCGGCTTTGAGATCACCCAGTAACCCGAAAATTCGCTAGGAACGACAGAAAAGATGTTCCCCGACCAACTGAAAACGAAGGTTTTTCACTGAACGTGCGCAAATTTTGTTATTAACAATTCTTCGATGATACGTACGAGTCACTTAACTGGATAAAGCTAGTTAGGCTAATGCGCCAGACTTATCTTGAAACGAATAACCTAGAGTACATTTCCATAGGTAACAGTGCATCATGTATTAATGTAATCCTCCATTTTTCTCGGGTACCACTGATAAAATTTGCTGGGTAGTTAAACTAGTCCATCGCTACGTCGAACGGACTCAGATTGAAGATTTGTTTACGGCGAAATTGTTCATGAATGACTCGAAATGTTGTCCGAAGCAACTACCTGAAGGTTACTCAGGATTGCGCTCAATATATCGATTATTATGTGGTTCCCAAACTTCTCGAGTCAGAAATGTGAATACCGCTCCACCAGAGCAAATAACGCACAAATCTATTGAGACGCTTAGATCTGTGTTCGCAATGCCCGATTGGTGCCGAGATGCTGTTAAGTGACCTGCCTTTCGTGAATCCAATCGATTGGACTACATGCGCATTCGTGAAATATACGTTAACATTTAATTTAACTTCCACTCACGTGATGGGAAGAAGCAATCATTCGGTTCCCAAAGAGCTACAAGATAGTTATCACGTTATCGGTATGTGAAAAGCCCAGTGTTTGAGTGCCGAGATCAATAAAAATAACCAGGAGGATTAAACGATCCAGAGAAACGCGTACATGTCATCTTTCGCCAAGTGGTGGTGGACCTTCTACGACAAGTGAATGTCTGCAAAGGAATCGCTTTGTAGCCTTATCCACCTTAGAACAGAAATCTGTCTTCCTCGGTTCAAATCTTTCAGTAAGGCACATGTTGAACAACTGTAGTCTGAATGCACTACGACTGGGATAATCCATTATGCGTCTCGAGTGGGCGATGCACTGGCGTTACTCGTATTCAACTCAATGGAATAATACTGTAATGAGAAATGGAACAAGGTTTCAGCTACCAACGAAGACTGGAAAGTTTGAAAATGAAAGGTTACATCAGCATTGTAAAGTGGTGAGGTTCCATTATCAAACCGGAAGTTATTTGGTCTGGTGAGAGGAGTGAACTGGTTTTCATCGACAGGATGATGAATGCATCAACGAATGGAATGGAACCCACTGCAATGGGACGAGTTCGACGTTTACCTCCCAAGATGATAGCATGCAGGTGCACAGATAGACAAGTAAGTGATTCCGATAGATTCATTAGAAAACAAAACAAATGTGGCGAACAAGCTCGATTTCAGTGTTTTATCTACAGGTCAATTACAGTACATTATATGACATGGGGAGACAGTCAAATCAGGGTTTAAGTATGTGCAAAATGGGAGTTGAGGGATTAGGAGGAGTATGTTCCCATACTGACCGCATAGTTAGTGATAATCCCTTGCGGAGGGTGAATATTCGACTGAAATGTTACGTGGGGACACACGGTCACAGAAGGGAGAGGGATTTAACGAACATTTTGTGCACATGGTGTGGGTTGGTTTATTCCAATCGCCTCATATGTAGACAGCAATCGATTTTTAACATCCTTAGACTCTGCTGAAGTAATGGTGTTCCTTAATATTTTCTTGTCACGCCGCGAAGATGGCTCTTTCAGACGAAATATACCTGAACAGAACAGTATATCGCCTGTCTGAAGTTTGTCCCGGTGCAGGGTAAACGAAGCCTAATCCAGTTCATCGCCAATCGTATAAGAAGTCTTTGTTCTACTGACAGAATGGGTGATGAATTGGCAACAGTTAAGTCAACGTTCCTGAATAATGGATGCCCAGAAGAACACGTTTATTATTGTATGAGAGCCTACGTTACTAAACCAAAGGACCCACCTTGGAAAAGGTTTACATTCCATAGGCTTTCAAAGTTGACACTTGCGAGGACAATGAGCAAACGACTGAGGAGTATATACATATATGTATATATTAACGGAATTACTCATATTCTACTGTTCCAAATCAGTTCTCCCATTACAAATGAAGGACAGGCTACCGATGGACATGACCTCTTTTTGTGTCTGTTTACTTGCTGCTGTCGCACCCGCAAACGCCTGGGCGATCGAATAAGAAAACACCACCCAGCTTGGCTCAGTTGGGGACCGATGAGGGCAGTTGCGAGTGCCGAGATGAATCACACCGTGGATTTGCGGGAATCGTTCCGTCTAATCTATACGCTAACGGGGATCCGGTCTAAGGATGTTGAAGCCCGATTGCTACCTACAACAGAGGTGAAATCGATTAGAGTAAATCAACCCCATTATGTGCACAACAGTTCATTAAATCCCTTTCCCTCTTGTGATCATGTGTCCGAAGTGCCCCCAACTAACATTTCAGTCGAATATTCACACTCCGCAAGGAATTATCATTAATTATGCGGTCAGTATTGAAGCACCCCCCTCCCAACCCCTCAACTCCCATTTTGCACATACTTAAACCCTGATTTGACTGTCTCCCCATGCTATTTCCCTGAGTTATATAATATGCTGTAATTGGCCAGTAGATAGATAACTACGCCCAGTTTTTNAGTTTTTCCTCTGATCTAAGCACGCGCACGTGCATATACATACGGTGATGAGATTTGTTAGTCACAGCGGATTGAGCCGAGTTAACACAATTAACCAAAACCGGATGGCTTTGATGTTTTTAGAACGACACATTGGTTCCCTTAGGATCGATGATTGTGACCATAACGTCATATTTGGTTGATGTTGGGTAAGCGGAATTCGATATACATGCACCAACGTTTTTTCCCATATTTATAGGCCAGAAATAGATAGGTCAGTTTGACCGTTTTCTACCTTACTCACCTTCACCATTTTCGCGAATGCTAACTGAAACAGGTTGACAAAATTCTACTACCACTGTGGATTGCCACTAGTAGATCCTTTATCAGTTATGACCATGTTACTATTATCGGTCGGTGGTTGCCAAGTGGTTAGGTCACCAATTTGTGACCCGGAAGTCCCGGGTTCTAACCGCTCCACCGCTGCCGGTCTTCTCTATTACTGCACCTCACATTCTGCCTTTCAGACAGAACCTATTGATTCGCATTGTTGGAAACCACAAGGTCAGCCATCTGGGCGCACGATTGGCCCACGCCACACATCGTCCTGTGTGAACTGAACTGAACTGAACACTAGCTTATCTCAACTGCGGTGCACAAACGCCAGCGAAAACTGGCCCTACTTTGAAGTTTACTTCAAGCGGTTACTTTTTAGCGGAATTCTCTCTATTGAAACACTTATCCACTTAGTGCCGTGGTCAAATGGTCTCATCTATTTACTTCATTCCGGGCAATACACAATGTTGCGTTCCTCTCGACACAGGTACATTTGCTTTTCTTTAAAGGTCTACTTCATGCTTCAATCAACCACACTGGTCCCTGCTCCCAGCCTTTTGTCATTTGATCTGATAGATTTTGCGGCTGTGGCACTCGTGTATCTTATCCATCTCTGTGCAACTTCAGTCTGCTAGAATGCTCTAGTTCCATCTTGACACTGTTTTCAAACTGAATCTTCTGTATAGTTTTTCATTCATATAAGAAAACAAAAGATGGCAACTAAACCCTGGATCACGAAATTACACGGTTAATGAGTGTATACACTGAAACTGATAATCAGTCGAGTAACCTGCTCTGGCCTGAACAACTTGGAAGTATTCCGCCCAAGGCCTCCGAAAGCGTCATGTCAGGTTGTGACCGGTACCGCTTCTCTTACACCTCATGAAATGCTCCTAGATGACCAAGCATCTCAAATAGCCTCTGATGAGGAAGCCCTACTCACTGCCTTTCAGTGCGGTGTTTTCCCACCAAATTGAGAGGACGAAACCGCTAGCAGTTCACCTAGGGGAGTAGGTCAAAAATCCTTATTCCAAACCAAACCAGAAAAGCCGTACGAATCAGACACACCTTTCTGGTAGTGGTATTGGTCACCGGTTCGATTGGGCATCGAAGTGTATTGGACACTTTGGGCATTTGACCCCGTCCGAAGGGCGTATGATCGGATGTACTGGACACCGGCCCCCAGTGGACTGTGGACTCTAAGCTCCGTCCTGTTGCCTTGCAGGTCTGACTTTGTAGCCGAGGGATTCGGTAGGGAACCCCAATATTATCTCCCGTCCTCGACGCAAGAAAGTGCATGGTTAATGGTTGTACAAACTGAACTCGGTCAGGGTAACCAGGAAGTAACATGCCCGCACAACCTGTGAATACATTCTAGAGATTTTTCGTCATATATTGTGGCTCACTTGGCAGTTCTATGGAATTGGTAGCCTGTTGAACATATATATCTATATGTTTTTGTGCCCTGTACAGAAAAAAATTCATCTTGCATTCGAATTAAATCCTCCACAAATCTTTGACAATGAAGATTATGTTCTCGTCATTCGGTCGAACGTCTAGACTTAGTCACGCGAGAAGGATTATACCATGATATACCCTCGTCCGATGTTGATCCGTCATACTAAAAAATAACTATTATCTTAAAGTGATGTGGCGGGGTTGGAGTAGGTGAATTAATGCTACTGCTACTCACACTCGATTATAAGATGGGTGAAACTGCTTTCAGTTCTGTGACGCAACGGAACCAGCGTATCGTGTTGTAAACGTCATTCCAATCAACTTATGTTTTTACTGGGTTCATCCGATCTCCCCCAGTGCTCCTCAGTTCAGTTCTTACAACCAGTGTTGTATCGCGTGAGGTATTCTCGCTGTATACATCTACTGATTACAACATCCAGAATATCTTACTACTTTCTATATCGTAGACAGCAGATAGATGCGTACTTGCGTTTTTGTTTTTGATGCGAATAATATCCCTTGCGTCGAACGTTACCCATAAGTACCATCTCCTTTTTGTGGTGATATTCTTTCATCCTATATGATGGTAAAGTTACGCAAATGCTGAAAATGGGTTTTAAATTACGTATAGATCGGGCATATGACCATGGCGAAAGTTTTGTAAGCCGGTATCATTTTATTAACTCGGCTTACGTTACTTGTGAGATGAATATCAGTTCGCGTTTATGGACCATACTCTGAGACAGAATGATGGCCAATCAATTGTGGCATACACTCACTACCGTGGGTGATTATCAAAAGAATGGAAGTGGAAATTTGGGCATGCTATGTATGTTCACTAGTCCCGCAAATCTATTAACCAACTTTTGCTCCTTTGGATACGTAAACATTTCAGTAAACCATTCTGATAGGGTTGTAAATCCTGTCACAGAAGGGTACACAATGCGTAAGCCTTTTCCTTACCGAATTCATAGACCTCGAAATATTTATCGTCCTGTTGGGGACGTAACCTGTGATCATTTAAACATTTATAACACAGAACTCTCTCATCATGTTGTAACTTCTTTCGGCGGGTATGCAACGAGGAGGCTTGGTTCACTTGGTGGTACATATATGAACCAGTCTATTAATCCATTTTTGTTTTCTGCTGAAAATGACCTGAACTACTTACGAGTGGTATACTCGGTAGTGAGATTACCTCAAATGGAGCAACTTTATGCAAGCCTGGAGCGATACGTCAAAACTTCAAGGATAGACTTTATCTGCGGTAGAAAAATTCAGATATTAATTATTGTATTTAGGGATGTGGCTACTCAAATTTTCGGAAATACTGATGCATCGCACGAGCAAGGATAACCAATGTCTTGTCAATGCACCGTTCGCTGAACGTCACCTCACTCCCCCACCGCTAAATGAACAACGGTCCTGAGGCTCACCATTGTCAGCTTATATCATTTTAATTGAACCAAGCATACTTGTACTTCTACATGATGCACTTTACTGTTGTTGTTATAAATAGGGTCAGACAAACATGTGCTTCTAAATTCAACTGCCCATACGCCTATCTGCCCTTTTGAATTGACGTGATGTTCACGCCAGCGACGGTTTCTTCTGAGAAGTAATCGGATCGTGCGATTCAGGGAAGTCGCGTTACGAGATTATCAAATGCTTTAGGCATTTCAAGACGGAGGATGGATCGCCTCAAAAGCAAAGGCGTTTATCAACGATACCCAATCGAAGGTTATGTTTGGGTTATCAAGCCTAATTGGTCCTGTTAATTTCGGTGACCTATCACGCTATCTTACCCCCACCCGCACTGTCTTGTCGTTTCAGTGAACCTAGATTTCGACCAAGTAGGAACTTTTCTATTTCTCCATTGACTGGATGTCATCGCCATACGGATAAATACCTCGTCAACCGTCCTTCGAGAACCCGCCCTTTCTGGTCTGCTGTGAAAACGGTTTCCCGCCATTTTCGCCTTTCTCCCGGTTAAGAACGCTTCGGGCGATCTGGTCTCCGATTCCTACCCCTTGGAGTCCAATTCTACAGTACCTCTACTCTTCCTACCAGTCCCACATTTTGGTCAAAAATTACAACATGGAGTCTTCGCCGAGCACTGCGTTCGCTGGATACAATCAAACCACTCGACCGAGGTGGTACAACACCCATCGTGTCCAAAACTTTCACCTATCCCCGTTTCCTTTGCGCCAAATCTCTTCCACACGGTATCTTTCCCGTTTGATGGAACACTGTTCACATCTTCAGTATTCCTAATCCATACGTAAACTGTGAGTTTAACAATTGCCATCCACCTCCCTCACCCGTCCCATTACTAAGGTCATTGAACCAGTGCTGGCGAAAAAAATCGCTTTTACTTGAAACGCCGTGAACTGCTTAACGACCGTCAATATGATTTCAGCTTCTGCAGATCCACTGGCGGCCTGTTGATTGATCCTCCGACATGGATCACCGTAGTGAGTGGCATCTGGCCTCCCTGGATATCTCCATGGCTTTAGCATGACCGACGCCTGACGAAAATTCAAATTTTCGGACTCTTCCTCTGTTTCATCACTCAAGTAAGAAGGTTCCGTGCGATCTGCTACCCACATCCTTCCTTGTATCGGTGATCTCTAACCCCAAACTCCTAATCCTATTTATGTTTTTGCCGATGATGACACCCTACCTGTATTCTTTCTAGCAATACTTCCCTTGCTTCCTCCACCATCGTCACTCACGAGGATGTGGTTTACTCTATCCGGGTCAAAGTACCATCACTGCTTGAGACACCAAAAATGGAATCATTTTCAATGCCACTAATTTGTTTGTTTACCAATAATGCTATCCGCACACTATCAGCCGGCATTTTAACTTTTATTCACTCGGTTCTACATCTGCAGTTCCACTTCGCTTTTAATTTTTCCTTTCCATATCTCGGTCCCCTGATAGTTTATAACTTGCATCACAAGCGTTCAGGAGGATTTCTTACCTTTTCTGCACGAAACGATTTTTCAACCATTATCAAGTTTTACTTTACTGCAAGGCCCAAATAGGTACCACGGTGGAATACTGTAATCATTTCTGGTGCGGGGACTCTTCTTCGCACTTTCCGACCGCAACCAGTTTAAAGCCGTTAGTCTTGTTGCCGATCGGTCCCTAACACGAACGCATCAACCATTTGCCCATCGATGTTTGATCGTCTCTTTTCCACCGTGAACAAAATACAGCAGGTGAAAGATAATTACCCTCTGATTATCAAGAAAATCTCGTATCTTTGTATAGAACTCCTTCGCGCATTAGGGATTTTGTTCCAACCACGTGTTGATTCATTGTACGGCTACTTATAGTGCAGCTAAAGACGATTAAAAGTAGATTAGTCCTAATCGGTGGACATGAATGGCTGACCAAAGGCTGCATTGGTCCCAATATCCGATTTAGAAATGAAATTAATCAAAACAAAACAGAAAGAAGTTTAAACCAATTTTTCCCTCGCTCATCATGTATCCCGTAATTTGCCTCTGTAACTACAATGTTTTTTGACGATAAATTTTGAAAGAAACTGAGACCAAGCAAAGTACAATCATTTGGGTTCACGGGAAACCGCCGTCAATGGGTGCATTCATCGACATGACAAATTACACGTGTTCTCCTTAGTTGTCTTTTTACCGTGTAGAACTGTTTGACTGAAAAAAACGCGTAATCCACCGAGGAGATGATTTTCGATGACAACGGCTGCCATACGCATCTGAACATTTTCCTTATTGACGCCCTCGGAGAAAACGCGAGGCATTTCGTGAATGGAAAAAGGGAGTATTGTATTCACATCACAACTGCGTACGGACAGAATGCAGATATATTCACACATTAGTTCAAATGTACAGGGGTGAGTACAAAAAGCGGAAAGCCCAATTAGATCGAGTGCACTGAATCTTCTCTTCGAGTGGACTAAGTTGAACAGAAGAGTAATGCCAATGCACAGCCATTTCCAAAGCGGTCCGGATAGCAATATGTCGTGACAAGAATAACCTTAGGACCAGGGCCATTTCGCATCTGCCAAGTACAGTCAACGTAAAGATAACCGTATAAGAAAACAGTTTTATGGGCAACTTCGTTAGGCAAACAAAAGGAAACAAATCGACGGGTGGTAAGGAACTAGGCAGTGGGGCCAACAAGGAATCCAGGTCGCTTTCCAGGCCATGCTTCTTTCGCGTACTTCTTTCGTTTGGGAAAATCGGATTCGACCAAACCCGATTCGATTCGGCCAGGTTCGGCTTCGGTGCCTAGGATATCGTTTGCACTGAGTCGACCAATCTGTTTTCCATCCGGTAAAGCTGTTGTTAATGAACCCGGGCGGGAATGTGCATGTGCGTGAAGCATGGCCAACGTAGGAGGTAAACTGGGTTCCGTTGGTTCAGAATCAATATCGGGGGCCAAATTAGGCAACGGGAGACCCAACTTAGTTGCAACACTGTAAGCGGGACCAAAGAGGCTGCTTGACGGGATCAAACTGGAAGCTGTTGGTGTGCTGTTTGTTCCAATGTGTCGGTTTGTTGGCGAGTTTCGAG